TGAAGATTCATCAGAAGAACTACCTTGTGCACGATCTAAAGTTAGCCGCGATTGTTCATGCTTTTAAGATCTGGAGGAATTATCTTTATGGGGTGTCATGTGAGGTTTACACTGATCATCGCAGCTTACAGCATTTGTTCAAGCAAAGGGATCTCAATTTGAGGCAGCGTAGATGGCTTGAGTTACTGAAGGATTATGACATCACCATTCTTTGTCATCCGGGCAAGGCAAATGTAGTCGTGGATGCCTTAAGCAGAAAGGCAGAGAGTATGAGTAGCTGGCATTCATTTCAGTAGAGGAGAGGCCACTAGCTTTGGACATTCAGTCTTTGGCTAACAAACTTGTGAGGTTGGATATTTCAGAGGCTAGCCGAGTTCTTGCATGTGTTGATGCACAATCTTCACTATCGGAGCAGATCAAGGTTCGACAGTTTGATGATCCGCACTTGGCAGTTCTCAGAGAGACGGTACTATAGGGTGGTGCCAAGGAGGTTTCTATTGGCGAGGATAGTGTTCTGCGACTCCAGGGTCGTCTATGTGTTCCTAATGTTGATGGCTTGAGGGAGAGGATTCTAGAGGAGGCACACAGTTCTCGGTATTCCATTCATCCAGGTGCTACGAAGATGTACCGTGACCTGAGACAGCATTATTAGTGGTGGCGGATGAAAAATGACATAGTTGAGTATGTAGCTAGGTGCCTAAATTTCCAACAGGTTAAGTATGAACACCAGAGGCCAGGTAGCCTACTCCAGCAGATGACTATACCAGAGTGGAAATGGGAGCGCATTACTATGGACTTTATAGTTGGGTTGCTGCGGACCTTGCGGATTGATGCAGTTTGGGTCATTGTCGACAGGTTGACCAAGTCGGCACACTTCATTCCGGTTGTGACTACTTATACTTCAGAGAGGTTGGCCCAGATTTATATTCGGGAGATAGTTCGGTTGCACGGGGTGCCTGTTTCCATCATATCAGATAAAGGCCCTCAGTTCACTTTGCATTTCTGGAGAGCCGTACAGAAAGAGTTGGGGACCCGTGTAGAGCTCAGCACTGCGTTTCATCCACAGACCGACGGGCAGTCAGAGCGGATAGTTCAGATCTTGGAGGATATGCTCAGAGCATGTGTAATTGACTTTGGGGGACAGTGGGATCAGTTCTTGCCTTTGTCCGAGTTTGCTTACAATAACTATTATTAGTCTAGCATCGAGATGGATCCATCTGAGGCTTTATATGGTCGGCGATGTCGTTCTCCCATCGGGTAGTTTGAGCCCGGCGAGGCTAAGTTATATGGTACTGATTTGGTGAAGGATGCCTTGGAAAAGGTAGAGTTGATTCAGGAGCGAATTCGTATAGCACAGTCTAGACAAAAGAGTTAGGCGGACCAGAAGGTGCGTGATTTATCAATTATGGTGGGCGAGAAGGTTCTTTTGATTGTCTCGCCGATGTAGGGGATTATGAGATTCAGAAAGAAAGGCAAGTTGAACCCAAGGTTTATAGGACCATTTAAGGAGATGAGGCGAGTTGGGGAGGTTGCTTATGAGCTTGCTTTACCTCCCAGCCTATCAAGAGTTCATCCGATTTTTCACATGTCTATTCTCCGGAGGTATCACGCCCACTTGTCACATGTGTTATATTTCAGCACTATTCAGCTAGATGAGAGCTTGGGTTATGAGGAGGAGCCAGTTGCCATTGTTTCTAGACAGGATCGCCAGTTGAGATCCAAGAGGATTTTCATGGTAAAGGTTCAGTGGAGGGGCCAACCAGTTGAGGAGGCGACCTTGGAGTCCGAGGAGGACATGTGGAGCAGATATCCACACTTATTCAGCACTTCAGGTATGAATCTAAACCCCTTTGAGAATGAACGTTTGTTTAAGAGGTGGAGAATGTAACGACCTGACCGGTCGTTTTGCTTTCTAGAACCCCGTTCCCCTAAGTAAGACTTCTCGTACTTGCTTTTACTGATTTATGACTTGCGGGGATGGTTAGTTCGGAATTTGGAAGAGTTTGGGTTGAAATCGGAACACTTGGTTCCTTAAGGTTAGCTTAAAAGGCCAAGTTTGACTTCGGTCAACATTTTGAGTAAACGACCTCAGAATCGGGATTCGACAGTTCCAATAGGTTCGTATGATGATTTCGGACTTGGGCGTATTCTCGGACGGGTTTTGGATGACCCGAGAGCGTTTTGGCACCTAATAGTGAAAGTTGGTTCTTGAAGGTTATAGAAGTTCTTCAAAATTTTGTTAGGAGCGGGGTTTGGTGATATCGAGATCCAAACGGAATTCCGAGACCGGGAATAGTTTCATAATGTCATTTAAGAATTGCACGCAAAATTTGATGTCATTCCGAGTAGTATAAGTACGTTTCGGCGCATTGGAAGTAAATTGAAGAACTTGAAGTTCATAAGTTTGATTCAATTGGTTTTGGGGTGTGATTCTTAGTTTTAATGTTGTTTCGTGCGTCCCGAGAGTTCGAGCGAGTCCGTTTTATGATTCTAGACTTGTGGGTATGTTCGGGTGGGGCCCCGGGAGTCCCGAGAGTCGATCGGACGAGGATCGGACAAAACTGAGAATTTTGAGCAACAGCTAAAGCATCAGGTCTATCATAATCACACCTGCGTTGGGCCAGCCGCAGTTATGAGCTCGCAGGTGCGAGGAATTGGCCGTAGAAGCGGTTCTGGAGCATTTGGAAAGGGACCGCAGGTGCGGAGATTTGTGTGCACCCGCGAATGCGCAGGGGCGAAAGGGAAAGGCGCAGGTGCGGAGTTGGGCGCAGAAGCGGCTCGATGGCCGCAGTAGCGGCCCACGCTGGACTCAAAGAGTTCCGCAGAAGCGGATAGAGCACCGCAGGTGCGAGACCACAGATACGGCCAAGGCACCGCAGGTGCGAAAATCACAGAAGGCAGAACCTCATTTAATATGGGACTTAGGCATTTTGAGCTCATTTATTTCATTTTGGGGCGATTTTTGGAGCTCTTAGAGAAGGGATTTCACCTAACACTTTGAGGTAATAATTCCTACCCAATGTGAAATAAATACATAGTTTATGGGTAGATTATAACATGTAAATTAATGAAAATTATGGGTTTTGGTGAAAACCTAGGGTTTTGATAAAAATGAGATTTTACCACGAAAATGATTATGAAACTTAGCGAAAATCATATATTTATGTTCCTAAGGTTATGGGTAACAACTTTCTTGAAAAATTTTCAGAATCCGGGCATGTGGGCCCGGGGGTGAATTTTAGAAACCTTACATTTAGGGTTGGGTAATCACCTAAATAGTTAGAATATAAACTTTTGAACATATATTGGTTAGTTTTTACACTATTTGAATACTTTTGGATTGTTCGGCTCCGATTTGAGGGTTTGAGCGCATTCTTGAATTTGGAAGTAGGCTTTGAGACGAGGTAAGTCTCCTTTCTAACCTTGTAAGAGGGAATTAACCCCATAGGTGAATTAAATAAATGTGTGTACCTGTTTGTGGGGGCTACGTACGTAAGAGATGACGAGAGTCCGTACATAGCTACTATCATGCTATTGTCCGGGTAGTTTAGCCCCCGTATCATGCTTTATTTGAAATGTTTGTGCCTTTACTTGCTAATTTAATTGCTTAAGTCATGTTGGAACTTGATAAAAGAATTGTAAAATGTTAAATTCACTTACTTGAAGATTGAATGGAATACTTGACTGTAAATGAGAAATTTATGTTTTCTTTAAAACTAATTGCTATTTGTCGATCGGGCCGAATGCCTCGGTAATAGATAGATGCATCTATGGTTTGTGCCGTTCGACCCTCGCCAGTGCACAGTTTAAATATTATGTTGGATCGGGCCGTACGACCTCGGCATAATTTGCGTATGATAATTCTTTGGAACTCCCCATGATTGATATTGCTTAAATGTCTTAAAATGTAAGCTGTTAAATTATAAAACTGAACTTGGAATTTATACTTGTGAAAGAAGAAGTTATTATTTCCTGTTATTGGGCTTCCAGTATTATTCATGAAATCCATGCTTAGTATAATATTTTAATTTATTATTGTTATCCCATAGTAAGTGTCAAAGTCGATCCCTTGTCACTACTTCTTCGAGGTTAGACTGGATACTTACTCGGTACATGTTGTTTATGTACTCATACTACACTTCTGTACTTAATTGTACAGGATATGAGGCAGGTGCATTTGGTTACCCGTCCGGCGCACATACTTGATCCTGGTTCGAGATTTCACGGTGAGCTGCCTCCCCTTCCGAGCCGTTCAGCATTATGCCGGAGTCTCTCTTTTGTTTTGTTGCTATCTATTCTATTTTAGGCAGTAGGATAGATATCTTTTATATATTCTACTAGTTGCCCACATACTTGTGATACTAGATCTTGGTACACATTAGTAGACTAGTGACTTTTGGGTTCTGTTCCTATGGTTATAAATGTTTCTAACTGCTTTCATTTATCAACTTAAATCAACTTATTAAATCTTTTAAATTATGAAAAAAAATTCTATATGGAAAACTCGTTAAAATGTGGAATCACTAGGTTTTTCGTTGTTGGCTTGTCTAGTAACGGTGCTGGACGCCATCACGGCCTGGCATGGAGTTGGGTCGTGACAATCTCGGAACGTCAAAGATATATCATTATGTCAAAGGATTACATTGGTAGGACAAGATGAAGAAAATCCCTATAGGGTTCGTGGCTTAATATTCTAATTGCTAATCAAACAAAATAGAATATAAGGAACCTAATGGATTGACACGGAATAAAGTAATCCACACTACAACAAATTTAATCTTTAGTGACCACTATTTTATATAAGGACATGAAACCGGTCGTTATAAGTATATGTCTATCGATCGAGAATTATTCTGAACGTTAAAGTCAAGTTTTGGTTCTAACACTAGCGAGGGAAAAATATCTTTGTCGTTAAAAGTATACCATCCCTTTGTTAAAACATAATTTATAGTAATTAAAAAAGAAAAAAAGGGCAGTTTTATCCCAAATTCCCCCCTCCCCCCAAGTCCACCCCCACGTCCCCTCTCTAACTAAAGCGAAACGACCTAAACTCTGCCTGTCGTAACTGCGATTTTGCATTCTTTGCGCCTCTCTAGTGAATTAGTCTTAGTGTTTGTTCTCCTTCTCATGGTAAGCTTCATCATCTTCTCTCCTTAAATCCCTTTTACAGTAGTAACTTCCCGTATTATAAAATTTCGCTGAAAATCAAATTGAATATATTTATACTTGAAAATTCTCGATTTATAGATTTATTCTCTACATTTTTATATTTTCTAGTTAAAATTAAATGATATTCTTGCTTAATTTCATAAATATAAGTAACACACGCTTAACTCTTTTCTTAACATGGCTCATTTTTTTTTCTTTGTTTCTAGTGTTTCTCTTCATTTTTTTATTTTTTATTTCTATTTCTTTCAGATGCCATTCATCAGCTGCGATGAATATTTAGTGCTTGTGAATTTAGGGATGTCAAATTGACTATTCTGAGGTATTTTAGTTGTTTAAGAAATCAAAGTATTGGGGGTGTTGTGCACTCAAAACCTAAGGTGCTATATAGTAAAAGTTGTCAGCAAAGTGTAATGCTATTATTTATTATATTTCTCTAAGTGAGTGAAGTGTTAATTTGTAAATTTGAGTTCCTTCTTTGTCTTTTTTGTCCTCCTCTACAATTGATCTTTTATGGTTCTTTGCTTGTTAAATATAAAAGGCTTGGATAAATGGAAAAGAGAATCTTGGGACCTACTTCATTTGCAAAATTTTGATCTTTATCTTTCTTAAAGATACAACTTGTATTATATAATGTGACTTCATGATATACTTTATGATGTCACAACAATGCATTCATGCTGAATTACCAATAATTTAATCATTAAAGTTGAATCCACGTTTGTGTGAGAACTTTGTTGTAGATAGTCTACTTTTAGCATGATTATTATCATTTCTGTCAGGTTATATATTAGTTTGTTTTTGGATTAAGGTTGCATATTAGTTTGTTGTTAGATTAAGGTTGTACATTAGTTTGAATCAGCAAACTTATAATTTTTACTATGACTTTTTTTTATTCTGAAGGTATGTCCTATATGCAAAATTTTATGTCTTTATAAAGATGGATATCTTTTTCAACGCATAACTTTAAGCTCTACATCCCTTGAGTAGGTTTTAAGTCATCGGTATGGTTGTTAATTTATTTTTTAGAAGGTTTACAAATGTTGTTTCAAAATATAATAGATGTGGTTTGCCATGTTTACAAAAAAGATGCTAACAGTGTGATGGTTTAATGGACTTAGCAGTTCGTCATGCTACTCAGGAGCACTTAGGACAGGCTAGGAGATATGAGGAGGGAGAAGGCTAAGAAAGAGTATGTAGCCCTAATCTCAGACTCAGATAGAGTTAGATAAGACTGATCTACAAATCAATTTTATTGACAACTCGCTCTTAATGATGTTAACAAACTTCCTTTGTAGTCATGTTTTCCCATTGATTAATTGGTATATGGTAGCTATAACTAATTTCTAAAGATGTCAAACACATTTTCTCGAAAAATCACATTACCTCGTTGACAAACTAGTGGCAGATTAACTATAGACTGCCAGCACAATATGCATAAATTACTCAATAAAGATGAAAATATACACTTTCTCCAAATATTGGTATGAATTAAACCACTCCATAGTCTTTCATTTTGAGTTTATCATCTTGAGATATGTTTATAACTCTGTGAAAGTATAAAATCTGTGAGTTTTTGACTTATAAAAATTGGTAATTTAACTTATCAACTGAAATAATGGACTCATTTCTTGTAAATAAAGTATTAAAAGACAAAAGAAAGGAAAAACAAAGTCTTGATTGTGGTTAATAATGATTTTAACTTTTCTCTAGTTCAAGTATTTGTACTTTTTTTGATAAACTAACATAAACCTACTCTTTTAATAGATCTAGAAGATGATGTGAAGAACCTGGCCTTGAAGAAAGTGTGGAGCAAGTAAAAGAATATAAAATGTTAAAGAGCAAGTTGAAGCACAAGAGGACTTATGTTATGTTTGTCAGAAATATTTAAGGTATGAATTCCTATCTATTTTTGTGGACAATTTATGATGGGGTCAAGTTCCAACTATGATGTTTCATTTTCTATTAGAGATGATTCCGTGCCTCTCTTCTTGGGCATGGTAATTTACTATGAGCTTTAAAACTTTCAGTAAGCTTTGCATCTATTCTTTATAAATTCATAATTTGAATAGTTAATGAGGAAGCAAGTAAAGCAACTGAGTCAAATTGTCTTAAGACGTTAGTCTGTATGAGGACATTTATGTGTTATGATCCTTCGACATTGTTATTTATCCCTACTACGTTTTTCAATTCATGTTGTGCCTATGTAATTATCTTCAGATTATTTAGAAGATCCGCCATTACCCACGATCATCGTGCTTGTAGTATCAGTCCTATAATAGTGTCCTGTTATAGAAAACACAGCTAGAGGGTAGGACTATTGATTTTACTTGCAACTGGATAATTTGCTCAGAGCTTGTGAATTATAAATCCAGAGTAGGTTGATAAACTCATATCCAACCAAAGCTAGCTCTAGTTTCTCAACAAGAAATAGGAAAAATCTAACCAGTCACTATTCATTTTTTCCCTGAAACACTCATAAAATAACTTTTTATGTACCTTTTGTAATATAAGGTTATGAAATATGTTATCCAGTCAATTTACAGCATGCTAAATAGACAACAAGTAAGACATTTTTGTTAAAAGAGGTAGTTGTAACCGAGGCTGCAATTTCAATTTCATCTCTCATTTGATTTGTGGAAAGAGGGCACAAAAATCTTAAGCTTGAGTGGAATATGACTACTAGTTCTGTAGGTTTCTTGATACAACAGTCTCCCAAGTAAGAGCCCTGCAGTAGAAATTTTCTTTCACATCCTAAGTACTAGCAATCGAAATGTTACATTGGTTCTGTAAACAAAATGAGCTAGGAGAAGTTTTCTTACTAAACTAGTTTGAACATATTGTTTTTACAGGTCAAATTTGAAATCTAATATTTTTCCCTTGAAGATGAGCGGCAGAGCAAGTTGAAGCGGTTGAAATATTAAAGAACAAGTTGAATCCAAAGAGGAACTTACTTTATTTTTCTGAGGGTTGTTTGAAGATGTTGCCATTTGTGCATGCTGCAATTCTTCTCTTCCTTTTTTGGAGTTGTAAAAATAGTGTTATACAAGTTGGATGGTATGTATTTGGTTATATGATTTTTAGTTCTTTGTAATTTACAATGATATTTAATATAATTATTGAGTATTTTCTATTCGTTCTTCTATATATATGTGAAAGCATATGAAGTAATGATTACTATTTGGGAATTACCAAAAAACAATATTAAACTCTCATATCGACGAAGGGAAACTAGGCCGTTAAAAGTGTTATTTGTGAAACTGACATACAATTACCGAAAGGCAAACTAGCCGTTAAAAAGGAGTTGTAACGACCGAATTTCTTACTGCCGCAAAAAGATATTTAATGAGCGGGATGTGTAACGATCCGGCCGGTCGTTACATGAGTTACAGTCCCGTTTTCCCCATCTCTGCTTCCTTATGTGTTGTTTAGCTGTATTTCATCATATCGTGGTTGTTTTGTGTTCGGAGTGGTCTTGGAGTGGAATGAGACACTTAGTCTCTTATTTAGAAGCTTAAGTTGGAAAAGTCAACCGGATGTTGACTTATGTGTAGAAGATCTCGGATGTGAATTCTGATGGTTCGGATAGATTCGTTAGGTAATTTTGGACTTAGGAGCGTGTTCGGAATATAATTTGGAAGTCCGTGGTAGATTTAGGCTTGAATCGGCGAAATTGGAAATTTGGTATTTTTCGGTCGACAGTGGAAATCTTGATATCAGGATCGGAATGGAATTCCAAAAATTGGAGTAGGTCCGTTATGTCATTTGTGACGTGTGTGCAAAATTTCAGGTCATTCGGGTGAGGTTTGATAGGTTTCGGCATCGTTTCCGGAATTCGGAAGTTTGAAAATCCTTAGGTTTGAATCTGTGACGACCCGGCTCGTCGTCACGTGAGTTACCGCCCCGTCTTCCCCATTTTCTGCTTCCTTATGTTTTATTATAAGAGTCTTGAGTGAATGAGTCGATTTGGATTGGTTTGGATGGAAATGAGACACTTAGTCTCTTTAAGGAAGGTTTGAATTGGAAAAGTCAACCGGATGTTGACTTATAAGTTAGAGGGCCCGGATGTGATTTCCGGTGATTTGGTTAGCTTCGGGGGATGATTTGTGACTTAGGAGTGTGATCGGAATTGATTTTGGAAGTCCGGTATAGAATTAGGCTTGAATTGGCGAAGTTAGTGTTTTGGCGAATTCCGGTTGGTAAGATTTTGATCCGAGGGTCGGAATGGAATTCCGAGAGTTGCTGTAGCTTCGTTAGGTGATTTTGGATGTGTGTGCAAAATTTCAGATCATGCGGAGGTGTTTTAGTTGGGTTTTTGATCGAATGCGAGTTTTGAAAGATTTGGATGAACTTAGGCTTGGATTCGATGTAATTTGATGGTTTAGGTGTTATTTGTGGTGTTTTGATGATTCAAGCAAGTTTGAATAAGGTGTTGGATCATGTTTGTGTTTTTGGTTGAGGTCACGGGGGCCTCAGGATGATTTCGGATGGCTATCGGGGAGTTTTGAACCTTGGTGAATTACAGGTTTTTGCTGTATCCGGTGTTTCCGCATCTGCGGAATATGGGCCGCATATGCGGTTCCGCAGATGCGAGTAGTTGGTCGCAGGTGCGAGTTTTGAGGTAAGGGGCTGTCTCCACAGGTGCGGGCTTGGAGCCGCATCTGCGGTGCCGCAGATGCGGTAGATATGTCGCAGAAGCGGAAGGGTGTGGATTTGGCATTTCCGCAGAAGCGGACAACCATCCGCAGAGGCGAGGTCCGCATATGCGGTAGAGGACCGCAGATGCGGTCGTGGGTTTTAAATGAGGATCCGCAGAAGCGAAAATCCGACCGCAGAAGCGGTAGACGCAAATGCGGTAATGGGACCGCAGATGCGAAAATCCCTGTTATCAGAAGGGTTTTTAGAGCTCATTTGTTCCGCGAGCTTAAGTCCATTTCCACCATTTTTAAGCAACCTTGAGAGCTCTTGGATGGAAATTGAAGGGGATTTCGAGTAGGTGTGATTGGAGGTGAGTTCCTTGACTTTAATACATGAATTAATGGTAGAATTTACATGGAAATTGTGGAAATTCATCAAAAGAGGGTAAAGCTAGGGCTTGGAAATTTGGTATTTCAAAATGGAATTTGAGGGGTCAAATGGACCCCAATTTTGGTAAATTTGATATGCATAGACTCGTGGCGAGATAAGGAATCCGGTGATGTTAATTTTCTGATTTTTCGAGAAGTGGTCCCGGGGCTCGGGTTTTGCCAACTTCGTAAATTTCGATGTTTTTCGAGTCTTTTCGATTGGGTTATATTCCCTTAGCCTATTGTAACGTATTCGTTGTGGTTTTGGCCAGATTCGACGCGCGAGGAGGTTGATTTGCGAGGCAAGGGCATAGCGAGCTAGGATTTTGGCCGACTTGAGGTGAGTAAGGGTTATAAATGATATCCAGAGGGTTCGAAACCCCGGATTTGCACAACGTAGTGCTATGTTGAGGTGAGACACACGCTGCATGATGAGCGTGGGGTCCATTACTGCTGGGGATTTGGACTTGGTCCATCCCGATCGATGATTCTACTGTATTTTTGACTGAGACTTAAATTATATCATTATAGTTTGGACTAGTTGCCATGTTTGGGGCCTTGTGCCGACCTGTAGAACCCTTAGGGGTAATTGTATATGATTGACCTCACTTTACTCGTAAAAATCATACCCTCAGTCATGTTTCTAACTGTTTAATCTAATATGAACCGGCTTTGGAATAACTAAACCAAAAGGAGAGTAATATGTGGGATGGGATCCCTATCTCAACTTAGTATGCCCGAGAGGCTAAGTTTGTAGTGACTGAGAGGGGTTGAGAACCCCATAGTGAGGATATTTGATATGTTATGGATCGGGCTGCACGCTGCAGCAGTATATATTTATATGGATCGGGCTGCACGCCGCAGCAGTATATTATTGGATCGGGCTGCGCGCCGCAGCAGTACACTCATATGGATCGGACTGCACGCCGCAGTAGTATAGCGCTTGGGCTGTAGAAGCCCCTCCGGAGTCTGCACACCCCCAGTGAGCGCAGCCAACTATTATTATTGGATCGGGCTGCACGTCGCAGCAGTATATATATATATATATATATATATATATATGTATATATATATATATATATATATATATATATATATGGATCGAGCTGCACGCCGCAGCAGTATACTATATGGATCGGGCTGCACGCCGCAGTATAATTATGATTTCGGTTATCTTGAGGAGTAAATGAGTTGAGTACTGGCTTAAAGGATTTTTACCTGACTTTTCATTCAATTGCTGTTTAAAGGTTCTTACTGCTTTGATATAGAACTACTTAGTGCTTTTTACGAGATCTCTTTCCGTCAGTCATTATTTATTGCTATTACTCACTAAGTCGGAGTACTCACTTTACTCCCTGCACCATGTGTGCAGATACAGGTATTCCGGAGGCGTAGATTGAGCTATTGCTGCTATTCAGATCTCACCGGAGTCATCGAGGTAGCTGCATGGTGTTCGCAGACCCGATTTCTCCCTCTATCCTCTTTACTTTCAGCATTTAGACTATCGTTTGTTTAGGCTGTTCCTCAGACTTGTATTAGAGGCTCTTGACTCGTGACACCAGATCGGTGGGATTTGTAGTGATATTTCTTGTTTTTCGCACATTTTATCTACTGTTACAGATTTACAATCATGTTAATTTGGTATTTAAACTCTGTTAATTGGGAATGAACTCTATATGAGGGATTGAGAGTGTTGAATTGGTCGGGCTTGCCTAGCACTGTGTTGGGCGCCATCACGACCGGGTTGGGGTCGTGAAAGAATCTGAGGATGATTTGGTGTTTTGATATTGTTTTGAGTGTTCCGAAGGTTTGAATGGTGATATGTGACTTGTAGTCATGTTTGGTTGAGGTCCCGAGAGCCTCGGGATGATTTCAGGAGGTTGACGGATCAAGGATGGGATTTGAGGAAGTGCTGAAGATTGCCTTCAGTTGTCATAACCGCATCTGCGGAGTGGGGACCGCAGGTGCGAGGCCCGCAGAAACGCATAAGCAATCATAGATGCGGCCATTGGTGAGAAGGGCAGGAGTCACAGGTGCGCGCATGGGACCGCGCCTGCGTGATCGCAGATGCGGGGTTTCGACCGCAGAAGCAGTTTTCGAGGTTTAAGTAAAAACCGCACTTGCGATGGATTTTCCGCTGGTGCGGTGTCGCTGAAGCGACTTATGGACCACAGATGCGGAAGTTCTGGGCAGAAAGTATGTAAGATCTCCTTCGCAAATTTCAGTTCATTTTTCACCATTTTTGGACGGCATTGGAGCTTTTGAGGGCGATTTTGAGGAGGAATTCAAGGGTTTATTAGCAAGGTGAGTGGCTTGAACCCTAATACTTGTATATGTGATGATTTCCCGTTGTTTAATCATGAAATTGTGGAAAATTAGGGATGAAATTGGGGAATTAGGGTTTGAAATTAGAGAGTTTAATTTGAGGAATTGAGGGGTCATTCGACGTCGGATTTTGATAGTTTTGGTATGTATAGAGTCCTAAGTGCAAGGAGTTTCTAGTTTTGTAATTTTTATCGAATTCCGAGACGTGGGCCCGGGGGCCGAGTTTGAGTCCAATTCGGGATTTTTGGTCTAATTTGATAATTTTCGTGTGGAGTTCATTCCTTTAGCGTATATTGATGATAATATATTGATTTTGATTAGATTCGGAGCATTTGGAGGCTGAGTCGAGAGGCAAGGGCATCGCGAGCTAGAGTTTTGTCCGGTTCGAGGTAAGTAATGATTGTAAATCTTGTCCTGAGGGTATGAAACCCCGGATTTCACATCGTTTCACTATTTTGAGGTGATGCGCATGCTAGATGACGAGCGTGAGGGCGTACACCGTTGGGGATTGTGACTTCGTCCATCCCGTAGCAACTATTAAGTTGCGTATTTGACTGAAAACTATTTGATACTTATGTTCTTTGGAAAGTATTACTATGTTTTGGGCTGAATGCCATATTTGGGCCTCGTGCCAAGCTGTTTGAACCCTTAGGGGCTTTTTACTACTATTCTTCACTGTTTTGAGTTAATACCTATACTCAGTCATGCTATATTTTTACTGATTTCCTAACTCAGTCTTATT